TTCATCTGCCTGCTACCTCCCAAACAGTTCTGTACCCTTATCACTAAGTTGTCTCCAAATAGATGTGTATTAATTTTAGCAAATTTCCATCAAATCCTTTCTGAAAATTTATGCAAATGATATCAATATAGCCCCCCGCCATCTACTAGCTCTGAAGTTGTGTCCAAATTCTATTAGGTCAAACATGACATGACAATTTCAGAAACTCACATTGACTCTTCCAGATCAGTTCAGCCTTATCTATTTTTTTCTGAATAAAACAATTATTGGCATAAGTCTCTGGACTCAAATAGAAAGTTTAGAAAAACAGCTAACGACAATTTATACCATTTTCCATTAATTCAGACTGAATGCATGTAAGCAAGACAATTTTAAAAATGCTTTGGCACACATATGGAATTTGGAGTACAAATTAAGAAATAAAATACAGAAAGAATAAACGAAGAAAGGAACATTCGCTGAAGACAAATAGGTGGAAGACAAGATAGCACAACAGAAATAGTATTTACAAGAAAACAGAAAAGCAAGAAACAAAACAGAATTTAAATATTACCATCTTTCAATTTTAAAATTCAGACTGTGAAAGTTATTTTAGCCAAGATCATTAAATTAGCATCTCAGAAATTTGAGCTGCTGATAAATGTTGTAAGGATAAGTTGCTGTATTCTTGAGCCTAGCATTGCAGCCTCAGTGTCAGGAGGCTGTGCTACAATGATGAGTTTGGAGGGATTATAATCGTTGAATTTGACATAGTGCCTTATCAGGTCTTCAAAATGTCTCAAAGCGCTTCGCAGGATATACCGTTAAATGGATTTAACTGATTATCTTGTGAGCAAAATGCTCCAGGAGCCAGTTGCGCACAGCAATGTGCCACAAACAGTCGTGGATTAAAAATGACCAATTTATTATTGTTTGCTTTGGAGGATTATTAGGCGTGTGGAGTAAGGAAACTTGCCCAAGGTTTCGCCTGCCTGGAATTGAACCCAGGTGTCTCGCTTGCAAGGCAAACGCTTTAACCCTGATCTACAGGACTCCAAAGTGCCATGGGATCTTTAACGTCCACCTGAACAGGCAGACGGGACCTCGGTTTAACATCTCAAACGAAGAATGGCACCTCTGACAATGTAAGACACCCCAGCACTGCATTGGAGTGTCATCTTAGACAATGTGATTCCAAGTCCCGAAATGCAGCTGGAACCCACAACCATCTGACTCAGAGGCAAGAGTGCCATCACTGAGCCAGGTACAAGACCCTACTCCACTGACATTTTCAAAACAGAACATTTACTTGGCATCATCATTCTACGGAATCAAAATGCGATAAGAAAACCCACCAAAAACTTTCTTTGGTCAACTAAAAGGGTATGGGAGTTTCTACAGGTGCCCTATCCAACAATCCCCCAAATTGTTTAAAAAAAAAATTTGGTCAATCAATCCACCACTGTTTGTGGGACACTGCTATGCACAATTGGCTGCTGAGTTTCGCCCACAAAAATACAGTCAATTCACTATACAGTGTATTCTGTGAAGGACTGTGAGACATCTAAAATATGTGAAAAGCACTATATCAAATGCAAGGATCATTTTTATTATTAAATAAAATTGGTCTCTCACTTTATGGCTGTTTGTGAAACACTGCTGCGCGCAAATTGTCTGCTGCATTCACCCACGAAACAGTCACTCCACTTTAGGGTACATCCTCCCGACATGAAACTACACCAAATGTAAGATTCATTATTATAAACCTTCTGACGTAAAAAAAAAATTACATTTGCAAAGCACCTTTCACGTAGGAGGACGCCCCAAGGCGCTGGTCAGTCAGTGTTTCGGACCAGAAGTGGGGATCGGGATTGGGGAGGGCAGGCGGGGAAGGAAGGTGATCAAAAGCACAGTAAAAGTTGAGGGTCTTGAGATGGTCTTGAATAAGCTATGTAAATGCAATTTATTTCTTTAATAAGGACTGAGAGATTTTTCCTGCATTCTTGTATTAAAATATCAAACATCTCAGTTTAAGATTGAAAAGGAAAAAATCTTCAGTCAGCAATACTCATCAACTATTCTCAGGTGACAATACATTCAATTCATTGAAATGCAAATATATTCTTTAGCACTCATTCATTCTCACATTGAAGTATTTTTCTCACAAGGCTTGCAATAGCACCTTTCCCCTTTCATGATGTAAACATAACATCCGATATTCAGGGAAGAAAACAGCAACCTTTGCACACCACCAAAACAGTAACATAAATTATAACACATGGTTAAGAGACATTCATAAAATCTTAGGGTTCAAGTGACATTAAGATATTTCATGCTTAAGGTTTATTGATTCTGTTAGAATCTTATAATCTACTCCAAGCAATCTGTTATTCTATATGCATCATAGTCCTGTTTCGTATCCCAACTTGACAAACGTCACCATGAAATAGATCCAGATAGCGTACAGGACTGACTACTATGCATCTGACAGTAACAATTTACAATGAAATCCTAGAGTAACTATCCCTTATCTGCATTACTACAAAAACGAACACGTGTGTGTGGAAAAGAAAAGGAATTGAGCAGAAAAAAGGACCATATACACGAGCAATTGAGTGACAGTGGGTTCATCTGGGACAGATGCAATTACAGTAATTTGAGACAAACTGTTCTTCTGGACTGTACAATACCTTTCACAAGGCAGCTGTGTCTTTTCAAATTACAGCAGAACATCTCTATAATGCTGCCTCTGCAAGTCATAAAAAGACATAATATAGCAAGAGACGCTTCGTAAAGAGAGAGACCTGGGTTTGATTCCTGGCAGGGTGAACCTTGGGCAAGGTTCCTTACTCAACGGGGCTGATTATATCCCTCAAGATAAAAAAAAAAAATAAATTGGTCACTTCAATCCACAACTGTTTGTGGGACACTTCTGTGCGCAATTGACTGCCGCGTTTCGCTCACAAATATGCAGTCAATTCATTTTACAGTATATTCTGTGAAGTGCTTTGAGACGTCTAAATGATGTGAAACGCACTATATCAAATGCAAGGATTATTATTATTATTATTTCTCTTTGACCGAGCCTTCAGCTCCCCTCTCGACTCTCTTCCCCCTTCTCGCTCCCTCCCATCCCTCCCCTCACCCTGACCATTTCTCCCCTCCTCGCTCCCTCCCCTCCCCTCACCCTGACCATTTCCCCCTCCTCGCTCCCTCCCCTCCCCTCACCCTGACCATTTCCCCCCTGCTCGGGTCATGACCCAACTGTGCAGCGCCTTGGGACGTCCTCCTGACGTGAAAGGCGCTTTATAAATGGAATCTTGTTGTTGTTGTTGTATTACTATGCAATTTCTCCATTAGTAATCATGAGCATTAAATCAAAGGTTCATTTTACTTTTAAAAAGTCAACTGACTACCAACTACAATTCAAGCCTTAGTTTGAACAAACACTTTAGAAAATAATATTTAAAACAAAAAAAACCTTCAATACACAGTAGGCAAATTAATTAGAAGATCTGGATGCCATAATTTGAGATTTCAGACGAGTGCAAACTCAAATTTTGGAAATTCTTGTCAATTATTACTCAAGATAGGAATAAGCTAGTTTAGCATATCCAAATCTAAATTAAAAAGCGCTGTAATTAACTTTCTTTAAAAACTAAAATATTCATTACATTGAAATTTCTATCCTTCTCATTTCACTTTCGAATCAAGCTGATGTAAACAAATTGAGATGAATCTGAAAGATGCGCACTTCCATGTTTTGTCACAGCAAAGATCCACAAGAAATTAGCAATGTCCAAAATCATACCAAAACCTACATGTTTAGTCACTTTTAGTGTGAAAACAGTCTTCAAACTACTGGTCAAATCAATAATTTTTTTTTGCAATTTTCAATTCAGTACCCATGTCACAAAACTGCTCTGAAATTGAAGCATCATGATGTAAACCTACCCAACTATGAATATTATAAAACTACTGAAACTTCAGAACCTGTAATTTTTATTCAGCAACCAAAATTCAAGTTTCAATCCTATCAAATTCATATTAAATGTCATAAGTATCTTACTTTTACTCAAAACGCTATGGTTAATTCTGTTTTAGCTTAGCTTGATATAGTTAATTACTTAATATTGTGTGAGGATATCCTGCAACATCTTAACCTGACAGGAGTAAAACTCCCTTCCAATCCCTTCAAAAAAAATTTAAAAAATTGTTCACTCAATCCACGACTGTTTGTGAGACACTGCTGTGCACAATTGGCTGCCCCACATCACCCACAAAATACAGTCAATTACTTTGCAGTATATCCTGTGAAGCACTTTGAGACGTCTCAATGAGCGGCATATCAAATGCAAGGATTATTATTATTATAATTCAAAATGATCCAGTGTTGGATTTACAGACGTAAATCGGGAAACTATATTCACAGCCCAACCGGTAAAAAATACTATCAAAAAGCAAATAAAACCAAATACAATGTGCAAATAGTCTGTTGAGATGCTCCCACCCGGAAGGAATCTCAACATTTTATAAACAAACCACAAAGGAAGTTGAAACCCACTGATGTGCAAGATCTGATTTAAGACATCCAGCCGTTTTCTCTTCCTCTTTCCCCCCCCCCCCCCCCCGCGCCAAAGCACAGAGCTTGTATTGGTCAGTAATCTGATACCCTGGTGTTATGTTCTGATCCAGGGACACGGTGCCATGTAAACAGGGTACAAGATCAAATTCCGTTTCGATCAATAGATCCAAACTGAATTCAATCTACTGTGTAACTGGATTAAGAGAGAAGCGGGGGAAATCACCCAGATCAAAAACATAACGTCTTAGCGAACCCTCCAGTTGCCTGCCGACACTAATGCAATCAGGGCTTCGCGGTCTGCAAGTAAATGGGAGACAAGAAAGCAGAGAGAAAGAAGCATGGCTACTCTTTCCTCCCAACCCCCCACCACCACCGCAGAGCTGAGGACGGACGGGCGCTCCCCACCCCTCATCCCACACATCAGACGCCACCTCACCTCAATGCAGGGGGGCGAGGGGTCGTTGTCCCGGTGCTCGGTGTAGAGGTGGTGCCGCAGTAAAGTGGTCCTCCTGTAATTGCGGCTTCCCTTCACGAACTTGTTGCGGTTGTTGTGGTGGAGGTCGCCCCCCTCGCCCCGCAGGCACCACGAGCAGTACATGAGGCCCGTCTCCTGGTCGTACTGAAGCCACGGGAACTCCTGCAGCCACGACCTCTGGAAAGTGCGGCGCTGAGGCAGTAGGTAGGACTGGGGCCGACCCAGGAGGGTCAGACCTGACCCCAGCCTCATGCCGCCGCAGCCCCCGTCGCTGCCCTCGAACTCCTCGTCCCGCTCCCCTTCCCCGACCTCCTCCACCACCTCCGCGGCCGCCGTTTCCTCCTCCTCCTCCTGCTCTTCTTCCTCCTCCTCCGACTCGTTGCTGCTGATGGAGCCGCCGTCCACCACCCGCACCGACACCTCCTCCGGGTAGTCGTCGTCCACCACCACCGTCTCCACCCAGTCCTGGTCCGTCCCCACCGAGGCCGAGCGCGAGGCCTCTACCGCGGCCTCCGCCCCGCCGGCCTCCGCCGAGGAAGGAGCGGAGGCCGGCTGGTCACAGGTGACCGACGCGGAGGCCGGGGGCGAAGCCTCGGGGTCGCAGTTAGGCGAGAGCGCGGGTGGCGGAGGTGGTGGCGGCGGCGGGGCGGGGGCCGTGCGGAAGGCCAGCGATCGCCTGCTCCTTTCTCCGGACATGGCGCGGGGTGGGGGGGGGGGGAGGTTGGGAAGGCAGGGAGGGGGAGGGGGGGAGTAGAGGAGGAGACGCTTTATATCACAACCCGCGACTCTTACACCAAAAGTTGGAGCGAGCGAGCGAGTCCGGCTCGGGCCTGACGAGCGGCGTGTGCCGGGGACAGCCTGGGGCTGGGGTGCGGGCTGGGCCGGGCCGGGCCGCGAGGTGACGAGGCTTCCTCTCGCGCTGACTGACCAACCGTCCGCCCGCCTCAGGTCGCATCGGTCTGAGTCGCGAGACGAAAAAAAAAAGCGGACGCGGACGGGCAGAGCTCCCAGGGTGCACCGCGCGCGCCGCCACGGCCGCCTCGCTCCTCCGCTCGCCTCTGGCCGCGCATGCGCCGCTGCAGGAGCCTGTGATTGAACCTGACTTCAAGTCACTGAGCTGAGGCTCTCTCTCTGTGCAGTCTGTGTGCACTGTGTATGTGTGTGTGCACTGTGTATGTGCACTATGTGTGTGTGCACTGTATATGTGTGTGCACTGTGTATGTGTGTGTGCACTGTGTATGTGTGTGCACTGTATATGTGTGTGTGTGCACTGTATATATATGTGCACTGTATATGTGAATGCACTGTATAATAATAATAATAATCCTTGCATTTGATATAGCGCTTTTCACGTCTTCTCGACGTCTCAAAGGCTTCACAGAATCTGCTGTATATTTTGTGGGCGAAACGCGGCGGCCAATTGAGCACAGCAGTGTCCCGCAAACAGTCGTCGATTGAAATGACCAATTTATTATTATTTTTTTTGAGGGATTGTTTTCAGGCATGTGGAGTAAGGAAACTTGCCCAAGGTTTCACCCCGCCGGGAATCGAACCCAGGTCTCTCGCTTGCAAAGTGAGTGCTCTCACCACTGAGCTACAGGTGTGCGTGTATATGTGCGTGTGTACTGTATACATGTGTGTACTGTATACATGTGTGTACTGAATATGTGTGTGTGTGTGTAATGAAAATGCATGCGTGTACTGTATATGTGTGGTCGATATGTCTTTACTATCCCTTGCAATGACTCACTCAGTAGATTTCCTCCTCTCTCTCTTTGTAATCATTCCATTTTTGGGGTTGGGAGCATTCCTTCTCCCTTCTCTTTAATAATAATAATAATAATAATAATCCTTGCATTTGATATAGCGCTTTTTACGTCAGGAGGACGTCCCAAAGCGCTTCACAGAACACACTGTAAAGTGAATTGACTGTATATTTGTGGGCGAACGCGGCAGCCAATTGCGCACAGCAATGTCCCACAAACAGTCGTAGATTGAAAATGACCAATTTATTATTGTTTTGTTTTTTTCGAGGGATTATTATTAGGCGTGTGGAGTAAGGAAACTTGCCCAAGGTTTCGCCCTGTGCCTGGAAATGAACTCAGGTCTCTCACTTGCAAAGCGAGTGCTCTAACCACTGAGCTACAGGACTCCACAAAACAGACTTTGTCTGTATTGACCATATCGTCCACTCACTCATTTTTTGGGGGGGAAGGCTTGCCCTCTTTATAAAGATCCTGCCTCACAATGATTTACTTATTGATTGCTCTCTCTCTATGACCTTGGCCTTACATTGAATTCCATGAACCCTCTTTGACCCGTCTTTTGAGTCAGACAGATCCTCAGTGCTCCAGGGCACTATTGATGGCAGAACAGCTAACCTGTCTCATTACCGGAACTTGGGGGAGCAGACCACACACTGGGAGCAAGGATTATTCCCACTCAGCACCTAATAACCCTGCAAACCAAAGCCATAATGCAAACCAGGTTACACAGTCCTAGTTATATGCTGCAGGAAGCTTTACATTGTTTGCAATAGTACTTTGGTGGTTTTAGCTAGTTAAACTCCAGGAGTTATGCAATCCATGCTCTAGGTCTCCAAGAGTTAGCTCTTGAGTTAGCTCTTAGCACAAGAGTGCCTATACTCTTAGGTAAGCATAGTGTTGTTGTCGATCACTCCTCTAGGGAGAAAGTACACATTGTAAACCAGAAGAATGTGGGTTTCGCCCACAAAATATACAGTCAATTAATTTTACAGTATATTCTGTGAAGCGCTTTGTGACAACTCAACGACATGTTAATGCACTATATTAAATGCAAGGACTATTACTACTATGTCATGGAGCTTGGTATTTGATACCCAATGCTTCAATGATCAGAGTTGGGGCTTCTCGAGTTGGGAGGACAATGCTAGTATTCCGGTTATATTAACTAAGTTAAATACACAGCTATATTTTTTACAACACCCCAAAGCCGAGTGGTAACTCATAAAATGCTGGCACTTTCAAGGTGCCTTCCAATGTGCTACTCTTCATTATAACCTAGCAACCTTAGGTCACCTTGCATACAGTCTATTCTGTGAAGCGCTTTGAGATGTCGAGAAGACTTGAAAAGCGCTATATCAAATTCAAGGATTATTATTATAGAAAGAACACAAAAATCCAAGACATACAACGGGAGCAAACACAGCAATCCAACATATCAATAACAACTCGCAGAACAGTACCGCATTAGTAAAACCCCCAAATTGTTAGCCCCTGATCCATACATGCATTCTCATCTAGACTGCTTGCTGGAATCCCACAGAACCCATTTAAAGGGGCAGGTCTCCCCGGTCATGACGTCACCACCGTCACAAATGTTAGAAGAATGGAATCCATACATATGTGTAACTCTCAGTAGTTTGGAGACTCTTAAGTGGGGTGATGGTTTCCACCTATAGCTGACCAAAATAAAAGTTGACAATCGTTAATTTATTTTGTGGTTTTCTACCCAGTCACTTTTTTTAGTAGGAATTTCTATCGGGTAACAGCGCTTTGCAACCATTCGATCATGGGGGTGTCTTTTTGTTGTGCTTTTTCTGTTACTTAAGCTACGATCACACATTCACTGGAAAATTGTTTTGTTGTTTTTCACACTCTGTCAACGTTGACCCTGCTTTTCAATCACTTTTTTATTGGAAGGTGTTTTCTCTTTCTGGCTGCACTGTTTTCCAACCACTCATTGGGCTTCTCTGCTCTGTATTTCTGATGCCTGTGCCTTGAAATAACTCATTCATATTTTTTTGTTTTGTTTTCTCTGGTAGTAATATAAATTATGCTCAAATGACTAAGAACTAATTGAGATTTGACTCCAAGAATATCGCCATAGAAACATAGAATATCACAGAATAGAAGGAGACCATTTGGCCCATCGTGCCTCTGCCAGCTTTGGAAGAGCTACCCGATCAGTCCCACTCCCCTGCTCTTTCCCCATGTCCTTGCAAGTTTTTCCTTTTCAAGTACCTATTCAATTCCCTTTTGAAAGTTGTTATTGAATCTGTTTCCATCACTCTTTCAGGCAGTGCATTCCAGACTGTAACAACTGATGTATGCACTGTGTATTTGTTTCAACTGTAGCACCAGCCATCTTGGAAGCTGGGGATTTATAATAATAATTCTTACACTTGATATAGCGTCCTTCATGTCAGGAGGACATCTCAAAGCACTTCACAGGATTTACTTTAAAGTGTAGTGACCGTGGATTTTGTAGGCCAATACACCCTGAGTTGTGAGCTTGAGTCAGCTGGTCAAGCTATTTGTATTTCATAGCATTTGTGAATGACTTTTCATCTCGTGAGAACGTACATTGAGTGCTTTATTAACCTTGCCTAAATCTTGAGATTGGGGTGCATTTTAGCTCCAACTCCCAGACATCTGTCAATCATTGGATGCAAATCAGTGGTACAAAATTTGATTTATTGTCAATGTCATAAAGGAGAGCTGTGATGGCTTAACATTTTGTGTGTTGAGTCTTTCATTGTGACCTCAACATCAAAATAACAGGAAGGAGTGTGATACAAGCATTGTGATCAATACTGTCCACAACATCAAATTGCTGGAATAAAAGCATTACGGAAATATATACTGTCTTTTGTGTGCACATAAAAATCTGGGGCAACTGGACTGATGGTTTGATTTTTTTTGTTTGATTGAAGAGAGAGGACTTGTGATTTTCATTTACAAAAAGCTACTGTTTATTTTCGAGACTCGGTGGCTCACATTTTTTAATTTGATCAAAGGTCATTTGGTTGATGTGAAGCTGTACCTATTTCAGCAGTAAACACTTCTATGCCTTTTCATATTTGCTGCTTTATTTTAAGCACTAATTACAATTTACTGCTAAATCACTTCTACGCAAAAAAGTTCTGGACTAGTGGTCGACATTCTGCATCGGAGGATAAAGGGAGAAAGGTATCCTAGAATTTTACACCACAGAAGGAGGACCATTCAGTCCATGGTGTCTGCTGACTCTGGGAAATTTTCAGAATCAGCACAGACCCACTTCCCTGATTCTTTCACCATTTCTTTTATTTGTTTGTGTATTTTTCAAATAGATGTCCAATTCTGTGCAAAAGACATCATCCTAACACTTCCCCTTTTTTTTGATTTATTGTCAATGTCATAAAGGAGAGCTGTGATGCCTAACATTTTGGAGTACTGTGGCTCAGTGGTTAGAGCACTCGCCTCTCAAGCGAGAGACCTGGGTTCGATACCCGGCAGGGCAAAACCTTGGGCAAGTTTCCTTACTCCACACACCTAATAATAATCCCTCAAGAAAAAAAACAGTAATACATTGGTCACTTCAATCCATGACTGTTTGTGGGACACTGCTGTGTGCAATTGGCTGCTGCATTTTGCCCACAAATATACGGTCAATTCACTTTACAGTATATTCTGTGAAGCGCTTTGAGACATCTCGAAGATGTGAAAAGCGCTATAACAAATGCAAGTATTATTATATTTGTTATTATTTGGTCACAATTTTAAGTATGGTTCCCTTCAGTTATTGGCTTACTGGACAGACAAAACCTAAAGCAAAAAGCTACATTTGAAGTGTAAATATTTACTATCCTGTTCATATGTTTCTATACCTTATGGTACCTTATGAAAGAGGATACAATCTGTAAAAATATAACAATAATAATTATGGCATTT